GTTTTACATTAAACTTTGGACAGTTTGAAGAGTTTCGTTTCGAGTTTGAGAGTGGCAGAAAGTGAAATTAAATTTAAATTAACAGTCAACTGGCAAGACAAGTAATGAAATCGACCGTAACCCGACTTTACAGACAATTTTTTTTATAGGAATTCTCCCGCAATTCCAATGGAAAAATGTCAGGCGGACAGCAAAGGTCGTTATTTGGGATCTGTGGCGGCTAAGCAAATTAATTACGATTGTAAATATATGGATTCTCAGGTATGTGTTAACGATAATATTTTAATATCAGCCATATTTCAGACGCGCAAGGACAAAGAATTGGCGCGAATTATAACTTGTCAAATGCCAAAATGCAATTTTGACGTACAGGAAAGTTAAGGGCTTGAGACAAAGTGAATTTTCGTCAGGCACTAACGCTAAACGAATTTGTATGGGAATACGTGTGATTTTGTCTCAAATCCAAGGCTGAGATTTAGAGTTATTGTAACGGTCGAAGTTCGGACTATCTATATTATAATCGTATTTAGAAACATTGTTCTTGTCATTCGCGATGTTTTGTTTTCTATTGTTTTTGGTAGATACAACTTTTTTGATGTGTGTAGCTTTTAAAAAACATTCAATCATCCAAAACTACAAGATACGAAATCGTTTTCCTGAGCGTAATTTGTCTGCACCAGACTTATTTCTATGTGGTAACACTCTCTCGTACGGCGAAGGAAAACATCAGCTGGCATTAGACCCAAAAATCGAGGTGCTTCCAAGCCCTTACTTGCCTATTAAAAGTGTAGTGTGGACTCAGTTTCCGTACTTAGATCCGTTGTGCGTTTAGTCCTGGCTTATTAATCCAGCCTAGCTCCTTCCAGAAGCTCAGAAGCAGCAGGTTTCACGGAGCGACCTCACTGCTTCGAGGAAGTCTGTTTGTTGCCAAAAAACAAAAGAATATCACGAAACAGTAATACATATATCAGTATACAGAAACCTGAGGCCCAGACCTCAACGGTTGTAACGCTGTTTTTACTAGAACTTAGAGTTCCAGCGCTGAGAGCAAGACACATATAGGGTTTACCCTACTGGATTATTTCACCACTGGTCCTTTAAACTCTTCTTTATTGACGAATAATTTCATGAAACAGATACAGGAACCTGAGGCCCAGAACTAAAAGCTTGTAGTGCCTCTTTTTTAGAAGTTTAATAGTTCCAGCGCTGAGCCTAAGACCCAGAAACCTGAGGTCCAGACCTAAAACATTGTAGTTTCACTTTTTTTAGAAGTTATAGAGTTTCAGGGCTGAGCTCAAGACCAATATAGCCTTACCCCACTAGAACATTTGTCTTCTTAACTCTTCTTTATTGACGAATAATTATTTACGGAACACATACAGAAACCTGAGGCCCAGACCTAAAAGCGCCCCATATACTGTATTTTTACTAATTTTTACTGAGATTCACAAATTTTGTTTCAGCTCTCAGTGTCTTCGTTGGTCTGGTCCCAGTGTGACCCATTCTATATAATGTCCACTGTGAATAACCGTTTGGATGTATGGAAGCTGACCCATAGTGATATACGCCCATACAAGGTGTATGAAAGAACGGCGAAGAGATGCATTGCCAGAGATCGGAATGTGGTAATTATTATTAATTATTAATTGTTTACATTTCTAAGTATAAATATTAGTTTTGTTAGTCTAGTATTTATATCTGTATTGCCTCTTTTATGGTGAAAGCTTCCTCCATATTTTTCCTCGTCTTATCTTGAGGAATATCTGTCCATCTTTTCTTTTGTACAATCTATAAATTTGTTAACAAAAACAAAACAAAATGTGGCAATAACTCTATTTTATGTAATTATAAACTAGTTTTTTTATATATATAAGTAAATGTTCCAATAGCCCCGACTCTTGTGGTGTGGGACCTTATTTTATACACATCTTTTGTAGAAATACACATAGATATAAGAAATTTCCCAATAGTAATATACATATATGTATAGATATTGCTATTTCCTTTTCTACATTCATAGGCGTTGCAGTGAGTGAGGCATTTCACTATATTACCTACTCTAGAAATAAATAACTGTTATGGTCTAATACACACACATCACACAATTAAAATTTACCTTATTCCTTTTACATTCCATAATTTTTTGTTATTTCTTTTTTATTATTATTATTTTGTGTGTATCTCTGGGTGTGTTAGTAATCAATGTTCCAGTGGCGGTCTGACACTTCTTGATATTTCGGGTAAATGCTCGGAAGTTACCTTTATATAGATTTGATGCACCAGTTAATTATTTTTACAGGCCCTTCTAACCGCAGATGGAGATGTAGAAATTCACAAAACTACTCAAGATAACAATATGTCCGTCTTTGAAAAGTATATATCGTTATTATAGGCAATATTCCTGATTGGGCGATTCATATTTCTAGCAATTTCTTTTTAATTACATTAACTGATAAGTAGCTAATTTGTGTCTCTGTTCTAAACCTTACCGATAAACTCCAGTAACTTTTTAAACAATATTTTATTTATTAAAGAGAATTATTCAGCGTTTCGGGTCAAATCAGTTCAAACAGCATCGGAGCGTTGTGAAACAAAATGGCGGATCGTGATCAGCTGTTTTATGTTAAAATATATAGATTATTTCTTAATAGACGTGACTTATGTCAAAGACAAAATGATAATGACAATTAACCGTCAATTGTGTCAGTTAATTGAAGTGTATGTAACAATTCATAGGTTATAAATTAGGCATTTTATCTCGATACGCAGCAAAATAACCTCAAAATGGCGGCGCATCCCTCTTCACTGTGCGAAATACATCACTGTTCTCGCTTATCGTAATGTGGTCTTTGTTCCATTACCTATCCAGTGGTATAATGTAATTTTCGATGTAGACGATAGATTCGAAACTTCATCTATCATTAGGTTTATGTATGGTTTATGACGTAGATATTTAAAAACGTCAAAATTAAGGACTTAACCTATGATACTTTTTTTACCATTTTCGCTTACTAAAGTTGAACTAAAATTGCCCCAAATGGGATGTCGAGGATTATCTGTATGAATTTATTTGGTATCCAACCCAGAAACTTGAGACAAAATGACTTTTCGACAATCGTTACCCGCTAAGGCTGAACGAATTTATATGGGGATGACAGCCTGGCCACGTGACCATTTTCACACAAATTCGTTTATTTCTGTGTTTGTTTGTGAACAAATTAAATGCAATCATCACTGTTTATGTAAGCATAATAATTATCACTTAAATAAAAATTTATTACCAAGAGTTTTTTTATTCGTCTTGATTAAATCATAGTTTATAAAATATAATGTTGTCTCTGATTTTCGAGTCTGCAACTTTTCAAAAGATATACAGTGCCACATACTTTTCTTGGGTGGCGGCTGTAATTGGTACTACCATCGCCATTTTGAAATGTCAGACTGATATTGTCAGTTAGCTCTCAAATACGACTATCTACCAACATCTAATAAAAATCCAACTAAAATGTTTTCATTTTTGATGTGTAATTTCAAAATTTAAAATCTTCGCCATAATGTCTGTTGTTCACATTTTTTACAAGTTCGTTGGTTTTAGAAAATTCCCCCCCCCCCCCGGGGGGGGTTTTTGGGGGGGGGGGGTTTTTTTTTTTTTTTTCCCCCCCGGGGGGGGGGGGGGGGGGGGATTTGGGGGGGGGGGGGGGGGGGAGGAAAAATTTTTTTTTTTTTTCCCCCCCCCCGGGGGGTTTTAAAAAAAAAAAAAAAAAAGGGGGGGGGGGGGGGGGGGGGGGTGGGGGGGGGGGGGGGGGGGGGGGGGGGGGGGGGGGGGGGGGGGGGGGGGGGGGGGGGGGGGGTTTTTTTTTTGTTTTTTAAATTAAATTCTAATCTTTGACCTCAGATGACTATAGAAGATAATATTTCATCTATATTTAGACTTGCTAAGTATCAATGCGTTAATAGAGGCTGCTGAACTCTATTCCATTATTCTAGAAGCTACAGACAGCATTACAATCTCAATTGTGGCACTGCTTTTTTAGATTGGCTAAAAGAACTGTTAAATTCCCAGCATCTTGCAGAACATTTTTGACGTTATACTTCTTAAAATTTTACGATGCTATACTTCTTTAGGCGCGTTATGAAAAATTGATGAGAGTAAAATTGTACGATGCGCGCGCACCGTGACACAAAATTAACAGAATGAAGTTACCCACGGAAGATGCTACGGCATTGGACATAATTTAAAAACAACATTCGAATAATAATAGAATTTATGTTACACTTAATGTAAGAGAATAATAATAAATATTTATTTATTTAATTTTTCAAATGTAAACTGAACTTTATTGACTATAATGACTTCTTTTCCATTCTTTGATTATTTAATTGTAATTAATTATTTGCATGCAATCAAAAACTATTTTTATAACTTCTTACGCGCGTTCATAAGTACACGCACCCTTTTTTAAATTAAAATACAAAATAATTCACAATTTTATTTACAAAAAATTAACAAATTTATCTACCAACGTTCATGACGTAAAAATAAAAATAAAACTACTTGTGGAAGGAATGTACACCACATTCCTTCAAGTAGTTAGTTTTTTTTTATTTTCTCCAACTGGTAGGCCTGTGTCTGATGTATAGAAATGTAGTCGCAATAAATTTATTAGCGCGATTCAGGTTATGCTGCGGTCAATGCTGCTGCTGTCAATGTTTTGTGTGTGGCTGCGGCTACAATGAGTACGAACGATATTGTTACTAGATAGTGCAATTCACGAAGACGCGCCCCACCAATTTTTGGTTGAAGGGATCGCGGGTGCGGGGACTCACAATTTAAGAGATTAAATGTTGTAACAAACGCTACGGCTGAATATCTTTCAGACCGCTCGTTAAATGGCGCCGTTCAGTTAAACGGCTAGGTTGTTAATTTAACGGCTTATTAAGCTAGTTGGCTGCGACATATATATAACGAATTAAAGTCAATTACCGCTATCCAACATTGTTTAATCTAAACGCACTTTTGTATCACGTCTAACACCTATACACAAGACACAACAATATTTTATAAACCGAATAACAAGGAACATTAAAATTATAACCAACAGTATTACAGATAACACCAAATCAAGTTCATAATACTCTCTGATACTCATATTAAAAGCCGGTGATCGCAAATGCTTGGCGCCCTTGTGTTGTGCAACATATTCAATCCACCATATTGCTTTCTCCAGGGAACTCTGTCGCTTTTCATTCATGACATTTCGTAGTTTATTTATGTTGATGCGGTACCTGCAATTTTAATAATAATAAAGTATTGCAATTTTACTAAGAAAAAAGCGTTGCAATTTTACTAAGAATAAAGTATTGCAATTATGATAATAATTACGTATTGCAATTTTACTAATAATAAAGTATTGCAATTTTATTAAGAAAAAAGCGTTGAAATTTTACTAAGAATAAAGTATTGCAATTTTACTAATAATAAAGTATTGCAATTTTGATAATAATTACGTATTGCAATTTTAATAATAATAAAGTAACGCAATTTTACTAATAATAAAGTAATGCAATTTTATTAAGAAAAAAGCGTTGAAATTTTACTAAGAATAAAGTATTGCAATTTTACTAATAATAAAGTATTGCAATTTTACTTATAATAAAGTATAACTATGTATACTTATAACGTCAATATTTAGAAACGGAATATCTAAATTTGCAACCAGTTTCCGTTTCAACCAGATCAATGTATTATAACAAAGGTTGCGCCATGCTTTCAAGGGGAAGGTGATGAAATTTTTAAAGGCAAGGTGCCTTAATGTGGGAGAGTATTTAGACAAGAAGTTATGACAACCAACTTAAATGTTCTTATTATTATGACAATTAATTAATGAGTAATTTGCAAGCCGATTTTTTATATGGCTGATTGTGCTGTTTTTTTATAATTAATCAATCTAAATGTACCACTTTAGGAATAAACGATTTATTATTGTTAAAGTGCGTAGAGAGGAACTGGCAAGAAACTCCGGCAGTCATTGTAATCACCAAGTTTTGTACAGGGTATGGAGCTGCAACTATTACGCCAGCATATTGAATAATGTCTTGACGATAAGCGTGAAAGTTATTTTTTTAAATTGACCTAATTGGTACCGTTTACTTGGTAACAAAATAGCTTATAATGGTATTTATAAACTCTGTATTAAAACGATCCTAAACAGTTATTTTGCTAAAACAAAAAGCGGTTTTAAAAAAACATCTGTTCCTGTTTTGTGATCAAAAAAAGGTTTTTTTCTAAAAGACAACTAGGTGTACAGCTTTCTATTCCTGTCACCTCGATGATACTTCAGCTGCGCGCAGCGGGTAGAGCCCATGTCTCCTCGCGTACTGCAGCCCCCACTAAGGGCTATAGGCCAAACCCCTCACGGTTCTGTATTAGTAGGGCGCGAGCAAACACACTACCTGAATGGGGATATACACCGAACGGGCCTTAACACCCCCTCTAGAGGGAGGGTGCAACAAAAGCAACGAAGACAGAGAGTCCATTGAACCACATCCAGGGTTCCAACATACGGCCTCAGGGATTAGAGTCTAAAGCAGCTGACCTACCTTGCACAACGTGCTGAAACTGACAGAATCTGCTATGGAAATGCTACACACCTTTTATCTGTTAGTACATCTACGACAGCATTTCTGAATTGTTCTTCAGAAACTGTTTGGACGTCGCACATGACACCAATTTGGAGTTCAGCAATTTTATGCACGTTGTAAAATTGATCCCAAAGTATTGGCACGCCCACCATTGGCACTCTGGCATCTATGGATTCATCCACGGACTGAAGACCACCTTGCGTGATGAAGAGCTTTATTTTGGGGTGTCCTGGAGAAAAATTTATTAATATGTAAAATATACTTAGCAACACTCATTTCTAAACACTGTTATTATTGAAGTTATACTTCTTTTGGCCGTTAGGGAAAATTTTGGGGTTTTTTTTTTTTCCAAACCCGGGGATTGGGGGGGGGGTTTTTTTTTTTAAATTTTTTTTTTTTTTCCCCCGAAGGGTTTTTTCTTCCCCCCCCCCCCCCTATTTTTTTTTTTTTTTTTGGGGGGGGGGGGGGGGGGGTTTTTTTTTTTTTTTTTTCTCCCCCCCCCCAAAGCCCCCGTGGGGGGGGGGGGGGCCGGCGTTGCCGGTCTTTCTAAGACAAATTGGTTTGAAAATACTGCAGCGGGTAGATGATTCCACATAGTGGTGGTGCGCGGCAATAACTGCCTTTAGAAACGCTCAGTTGTGGAACGATGGACGTCGAGGTGATACTGGTGGAATTAAATTTTGTTAGAACCCACTAATGGTAGTTTCTTTGATAATTATTCTTTTATAGGCAATGTATCAGACTTGAACATGATGTAAATTCTTGTCACAGACGTCTCCATACTTACGATGCTATTCTTCATCGCAAGAGCAAGTGTACCCATAAAATTCTATTGGTAAGTTTTTGAGGTCGAGACTTCACAGTTAAGGTAACGCGCACATATGGCCGTGAGCTGCATCGTATTTGTTGAACGCTATGATGATGAGTTCGAAGCAAAGATTTTAATTTAATACATACACCTCAACCGGGGTAGGCAGAGACAAGAGAACTTCATTTGTCAGGTTTACTATACTCTTGCATGACATTCACAATGCATGTTCGTCAGTTCCTTAGTCCTGTCCCTTCTCTAGTACTTCATGGTCCAGGCAAGGCCTACGCGACCCGACCTCACCAACCATCCATCCATATAAATTATTGATTCCTTTATGACAGATTGTTTGGCAATCCCCTAATGTACCCAACATTGTCTTAGGGATGATGACAATTAAGAAACAACACGATACTTACAGAATATATCTACTTAAAGTCCTGTAGGGGTGTGGTGTGGTGAGCAACAAAAGTAAGTGTTCTCCAAGAACTCGGTTTAATTGTACCTAGGGGATATGTGCGAAGGCCAAGGTGGTTTACCAGGGCCAGAATCTGTAGCACAGATCCCCGTTAACAAAGACGTTGCCTACTGGATGGTGTCTCCGACTATCGTCTATATGTTCGCAGTACACAGTAGCGATATTATGTTTTTCATATTATATTGAAGTTATACTTCTTTAGGCGCGTTATGAAAAATTGATGAGAGTGAAATTTTACGATGCGCGCGCACCGTGACACCAAATTAACAGAATGAAGTTGCCCACTAACGAATTCTTTTTAAACCAGCGGGCGTAAGCTTAAAAAAAAAGGGTGCGTGTACATAAGGACAACATTATTATATTGGCTTAGTACTGTATGGATAATAATGTACGTATTTTTTATCAATAAATAAATGTTAGTTTTCCCTAGGAGTTTTTTCCAACATTCTTTAATTAAGAATACTTACTCAGTAAGTCACGCTGGGGGAACCACTTCCTAACTATAATGTTTTTCGGTAAATTTTCCACTTCCGTATCCCATTTCCACATCACTGTATATGGTAGCTCTGACAGGACCTTCAAAAACATATCAATTTTCATGCGATTCAGTATAGACGAACGCACGCTACTTCCAAAACTCATAAAGATCACTCTTTCTGATTCGTCCAGTATAGTATGTAAGTCCTGTAACGTGAAATAGTTTGTACATTTTGTCACAAGACACTTTCTTTTGCGAACTAGCGTGGAACTGAGTCCCTGTAATATTAATAATGTGATATTTTATCACTACAAATAATATAAGAATTGACTATATATATGACTCAAAATGTATGTAAATTCTATTCTACCTTTTAAACCTTCCTTATGAATCACACTATCTATTGGTGAAATTTGTGTCAAAATCCAATTGGTAGTTTTTGAGGAAATGCCGTTAATACACGCATAAAGATTTTTTGTGACCTTTTCAACGGCTTATATTTCAGTCAATTAACATAAAACGATGAAGAATTATATATTTAAGACAAATTTGCACGCCATTATGTGTCAGAATATGCGAAATTTTGCAAATAAATTATTATTATTAGAAAGAAAGTCCATTGGTCCACAGCTGGGGACCGAACCTACGACCTCAAGGATGATAGTCACACGCTGCTATATATTTCATTACCTGTGACAATTCTTTATGCTCCTGTAACTGCAAGCCACCTAGATATATCACATTAGACGGTACTGGTCGATTGGAATCCCACAACGGATGTAAATTTAACATAATCAATTCTATATTATTATTTATTTCGTGTATTGATGGAAAGTCATCACCCAAATACTTTCTCACCACCTCCTCATCAAATTCACCCATATCATAATACAATTTAAGCAAATCGAAATGTCGGTACGTCTCCACAACTTTCTCCATTTCTGTTAAATTTGTGAATCTCTTTCGGATGCCAATGGGATACAGTATCGGTTGCTCCGGTGATGAGACCATACGGAAGGTATCGAAACTTCCTCCGAGTGTGCTTATCAACACCATTGGTGATTGGAATACTTCTGAAAACACTGTCGAGAATCTGACACATGCTTCTGTAATTATTAAATCGAACTTTCTTCCGCTCTTTATCAGTTCTCTCATATCATCCTTCAATATGGACTCTAAAATGACCTTTGCGGTATTAAAAGTCCTAGTTTGCTGGGATTTCAGTGTATCCGCGCCTTTCATATCGGCCTCTAAAAACCGGGAGAGGCCGTGTAAAGTCTGCTTCAAATATATGTGCGTTATACTTTCGTGTACTTCGTTCGGTTGTAAACATGAAACCACCGTCATCTGATGACCCCGCCTGGCCAACTCCATGTACACAGGTCTTAAAGCTGTCTGGTGACTGTGCAGCGGTGTTATGGCCAGAAATAAAATGTTCGCACCATCACAAAACGCAAATTTTATTAACAGAACTGATAACAACAGCACCATTGTGAATAGATATCCAACTGAAAATGGTAATTATAAATGTTACGCTCAATTAGAATGACCTTGTATGTAAATTTTGTTGAAAAAATACTGTTTTTGAAGGTGACACTAATAATTATCACCTTCAAAAAATGGGTTTTGGACATCCACGCTTCATTTCTGCCCCAACTTCTTTCTTGCGTTTGCTCATCTGCCCATGTGCAAAATCCCGATATTTAAAGTCTATATTATCATGAACAGTGGCTAGGGGCTCTTTTTTATGTTGCAAGTGGCAAACGGGCAGGAGGCTCATCTGATATTAAGAGATACCGCCGCCCATGGACACTCACTGCCAGAAGGCTCGCAAGCTGGCAAGGCTGACCATGCGTCATAGTCGTGAACGGGTGCTACTTGTGGAGACTGGTCGGACTTGAATTCGTGTATGCGTATATATGTCTTATTTGGTGATTACGTCAAAAAATTAATACGTTTATGAACTATTATTTTTGTTAGCTTTGCTTTCTTTTGCTGACAAGAGGAGGGCGGGGGATAAATTATCATAATATACACTTAAAAATAGTTTATTGACACAGCTTTAATGTTGATAAGTAAATACCTCATAATAATACTGGCAAATATAACACTATTATAATATTATACCGACCGGTTACTGTAACTAGGAAGCTGATGAGGAACATACCTGTTTAAAGCTAAATGATGATAACTATAATAATTCAAAGAGCGTACCAATTCTTAAAAGGCCGGCAACGCACTCGCGAGCCCTCTGGCATTGAGAGTGTCCATGGGCGGCGGTATCACTTACCATCAGGTGAGCCTCCTCCCCGTTTGCCCCTGTTCTATAGAAAAAAACAATAATTATACGATAGTGCAGTGTTGGCCAAGTGAGGTCGTTCGTTCGATCCTCGGCTGTGCACCAATGGACTTTCGCTCGAACGGTGAAGGAAAACATCGTGAGGAAATCGGCTTGTCTTAGACCCAAACACGACGGCGTGTGTCAGGCGCGGAAGGCTGATCACCTACTTGCTTATTAGATTGACAATAATCATGAAACAAATACAGAAATCTTAGGGCCCGACCTAAGCAGATTCTGGCGCCACTGATTTATTGTATTTTATTGAAATATCCAAGGTATGCGAAAACTTTAGTAAAGGAAGAGACATCTCAGGGTGCGTACAGACTATGTAACATATAATATAACTTGTGTTTTATAACACCCACATTATGTAACCTTGTACAACATAAACACAAAACAATACTGTACACATTAGAATAACAATACAATATAACAATGTTATATAACTATTTTAAATAACAAAAGAAAAACAAAAAAACGTAGATGCTGGGTTCGTCCTAGCATACATATCAATAACATGTTATTATAAGCATTCAAGTGTCCAAATTATCTGAAACATGCTGTATAGCAATGTTGTATAACATGTTATGTTATATAGTCTGTACGCACCTTAACACGCACAGAAAACATTTAAAATGAAAACACACGAACATGAATAAATACATAAACACACGGATAGAAACGTACAAACAGATAAATATATAATACTATTGACAAGAGGGCAGTTAACTTCGTTTCGCCTTAAAATGATTTCACTTAGCCTACCTCTTTAGTACATACCAACATATGGAACATTTTGCTATGCTACCCCAAGGACTGTTCGCTTCTCCAGAATAAAAACCCAACATAAGAACATTCTCTATAAAAACCTTCCTAAGAGTTCCAAGAATAAAACTACTAGAATTGGTCCAGCCGTCTTCGAGATTTGCGATTAATTTTTATTTATATATTGAACAATTACACCTTCTCCATCTTTATATAAAAAAGAAACTGCACTAGCACAGGATTCCCTGTGGCGTGGGCAAATAGTCTCTTCCATTTGACATATCAGCTAGGGAGCTGGCGAGCATTTAAGTATATGATTTGCTCGTATTTTGTATTGATAGGAATCAATGTTCAGACCGCCTTCGCACATTACTTAGGAACTAAGAACCTGTGTTCTTGGAGAACATTGGGGATGATTGCCACCCCCCGCAAGAGTTTCAGTACATAGTAGGCATAGTAAGTCCCGTCTGGTTTCCAATTTATTGTACCCCATCATCCCTAAGACAAATAATTTTGGGTACATTAAAGGAGAGTAGGGATAGACGCCATACAGTCTGTTATAAAGGTATCGTGTAAATTTATTCTGTTTGTGCTTTAATATCAAACAGTATTTAGGTCGAGACGAAGCTCAAACAGACGACTTTCACTAGAGATATAGACTATGTTAGAACATACTTCTAACTAAGGGAGCATTCAAGTATTATGTCACGCAATTTTTGGAGATTACCCCCCCATGTAACGCTAAGTATAGTTCATCAGTATTAAGTATAGTAAAACGTTTCGTGACCACCTAGTGACTCTTTATACCTAAAAGTTTTCATTATGTGGTGTTAAGAACTCGCGCAATTCAATCCCCACCCCGCATCGTAACGTTTTACAAAAGGACCCCCCCTCAACATTCGTTACGTAATACTTGAAAGATACATAATGCAAAATATATAAACAATATTAGTTTTATATCTTTCAAAAATTACTAATTGGTTAAAAT